TGGCATTTTGTCCAGGGTCAACCCACCACAAGTACAAATCGGCCTCACTCCCTATCTCTAAAGGCTGGTCAGCAGTTTTTTCTAAAAGCCAGTTTTCTAAAAGCTAGTTAGCCATTCTTTATTACAATGTTCATTAGTTGTCTCTGAAACAAAAGCAAATTTAGAAAAATCTTAAGCTTTTGTGAAATACTTCTTTATGAATCAACTTCTTTAGTTGCATTTCAGATGTTTAATAGTGGGCTTTCAATTTAGTCAAGTTTTATTTGCTGTGCTTTCAATCTGTGGAGTTAAAATATTTGGCTTGTAATAACAGAAGTTACAGTAACATATTTCATGTCAAAGCTTTATTTAAAAATGGCATTGTGCCAGAAATAGTTTCTTTCAGTCCAGTTGATGGTTAATATCTGAAAGCATGGTAATTTTGTAATTTCACAGACACTTTAATTTAGTAAATTAGTTGATTTTTCCTTAAAATCCTATGTTTGAATCCTGCTAAAACATAATTCTCAGTTGTATCTTGTAAGATAGAATGGTAATTAAATATTAGTGGTTAATTATATAAAGTTTATGAGGGGAAGAAGGCCCCAATCTTAAATCATGCATTAGTGCATGTTGACTAATCACTGTTACTTTACCTTGTGAAAGCTTGTGTTGCTGGAAAAGAAAAACAATTCTGGTTCAGTAGGAGACAACAGCCACAGCTGAAATCTACATTATAATCTGGTATCGAGCACAACATGTTAACATAGCACAGAGCTCCAGCTTCTAAAATCAGCATAAACCTCAGGTTGTCTCGTCTGAAACTAATTGATTTTGGTTAAGAAAACAACTTTTTTTCTAAGGTGAGAGAGATTCAAATTAAGATCTATAACAAGAATTGCATTTGTCTGATTCTGCTTTTCCACATATGCTAACTACTGTGACAAGTTTTTTTGTGCCTAGAGTTTCTAAAAGTTGTTAAATTTTAATTTAGTATTGGTACACTACTTACATGAATACATTTTAAATATCTGTACTGATTGGAGAGGGAAGATACATTGTTCTAGTATTTCCCATTTTAAAGGAAAGCTTTCCCAAGTTAGCCTTCGAAAAGGGGAAAAAAAAAAAATCAATAAAAAGCATTTTCACTGTCTTACATAGTTTTCTGCCTTAAATTTTTTGCTGGTGGATGCATTTGCAGAGTGAGCAAAAGTATTCATTATCTCCCTAGATTATTTTATTCCCTCAGGGATTGCTTGTAAACAGTTAATGCTTTAGATTAGATCCTTTGCTATTATGTTTACAACAGGAACCCTGTGTATACTCGTAGCATATTGCGTATGCAAAGTGTTTGCATCTAGCACAGTTTCATAATCTATTTTTGGAGCTTTGTCTCAGGCAAATGTCAAAGGCTCTTGCCTCTTCCCTTTGCTAAAAATGATGCTGGAATCAGGAGCAACCTCCACTCCTATATAAATAGAAAGGCTTATGGGTCTTCCATATGTTTGCGTTATCCCAAGTTTTAGCAGTTACAACACTTTTGAGTAGTCATCATTCAGACTAGTTTTCTCAGCTGAATTGCTCTGTAGATCATAAGCTTGATCTCCTTCCACTTCTATATAGTTGAGAATTTTTGTGTAAATACTGCTTCAAGTCTTTCCCCACCTAAGCAGCCTCATTTGACAAGTGAAAGGTCCTCAGTGTTAGTGATTTAGATTTTTCTCCATCCCCAGAGACTCACTTACAGGAATGGTTCTCCAGTCTAGTAGGTCTCACACTGCTTTATTCTGGGCTGGTCAGTTTCTCTTTCTTTGTGAACCCATGCCACAAGCAACTCTTTTCTGTCTCCGCATCCATATTTCTTCCTCCCAAGGTGTGGCCTGGCAGTTCCTCAAGCCTCAAATTTTCTTTGTTGCTGATTGTGAATTTGAAGTGATGACCTTTGAGTTGACTTCAGCTGACTGAGAATTGGTGGTTTAAATGTTATTGAAAAAGCAGAAATCGGTCTTCCTTTCTTCCTTCTTGTACCGTTTTTCATTGCAAGTTGTTGTTTTTTAATTATTTTTTTAACCAGAATATCAAGGGAAAATAATATGGGGGTGTATTTTTTTGGATCATGTAGGAAATTATAATGTTTAAAATAGTTTCTTTGACAAATTGAAATGTCAGATTGACTGAAGTGGAGAGTGTTGCATGGCCCATACAACATAGGTGTTTTAATTGGTCTAAACCTGTTTTCATAGAATACTAAGACACCAAAGTTCATGCTCTACAGATTACAAATTATATTTAAGCAGAAATAAATCTGTCTATTCTGTGCAGTAGCTGATACTTACCAGATTGTTTAAGACAAAATTAATATTATGTGTTATCTTCTGTGTAAATCCACCACGCTGTTTACCATTTAGTGATCGTCTGCCTGACTTCTTTTTTTGCAGTGTAAGTGGATGTGGAAGCCTAACAAGTTAGGAATTTTGCTTAAAAGTTGCCTCTGTATCAAAGTAGTACCATATTTTCAATGTGTAAGCTTTGACGCTCTAAGTAAGCATAATTTTGCTTTTTTCTTTTGAGGTGAACTTTCTCTTAACTTGTTTTCATTTAAAGTGGCATGCCTCTTTATAGCACTAGGACATAGCATGCCATTTGACTGAGACTTTGAATATAATTTTACTTTGAGCTTGATACTGGGAGCAGGCAACTGCCTGTTCTTGTGCATTTACTTGCATAATAAAGGTGCGTCCACATAGATTTTCCTTTAGTAGTAGCGGTTAAGTTACATGCAAGTTTTCTTTGTTGTAATCATTACACTGTTCCAAAATAGCTCTTGACCATGCATTTGTATTTTCTGTGTTTTAATCTTGATACCAGTCTGTCAAAACTTACTGTATCCTGAATCATAACTAGTCTAGTCTTTTGATATTATTCATTGTTATGAAATTTTCTCCTTTTTCTGAAATAAAGAATAAAATATGTCAAGATGTATTTTAGTTACTTACACTGTCATCATAGGACAGTAAGTAGTTTTTGGTTCAGTCTGAAATGTAAACCTGGGATCTTACCTGGTGCTTTTAAGGTTGTTTAGTTTTGCAGGGGGAACCACCACTGTATGATGCCAAAGTGCTGTACTGCAGGACAGATATTAAGACGTTAAATGTAAGATAGCAAAAATATGTACCCACAGCAGCCTTATTAGTTGTATGTATAATGCTTCAGTATTCTATTATGGCAGTAGTTTTCTTTAACAGTAGCTCAAAATAAAACATTTTCAGCCTAAAATTTCCTTAGTAAACAAGGGATGTTATTGTCAAGATGAAGTATTTTTGACATTAGGATCTGTTCCATTTATTTATATACTACATTTGATAATTCTATCAAGAGATTTGATATATGTTGTTTATGAAAGGTGCTATATACTGCTCAGATCCTCTGGGAGTCTTATTTCCATTTTCTAGTGTATACACTATTCTAACAATGCAAAAACTCTGGTTTGTTTCCATCCTGTCATGACCCACTTCACTTAAAGAACAAGTGTCAAAAGTCTGTGTCAGAGGACAGCTTGGAAGTAAAAAGAGAAGTGTGGAATATTATTGTATGAATAACTGTTCAAGAACCCCTTAATCGTTATTATGGAATAAACCCCCTAGATTTTAAAGTTACTAGCATAACATAGTACAGTTCATGATACATCAACTTTGTTTATGCTAATTTGTTAATATGAATTTTATTATGCATTGCCCAGTCATTTTTTTGTTCTAGTCAAGATGGAGTTGCTACTGTGTTAGATATTCTAAATGTTCACAGGTGAGAGACTTAGCTTCCAAACATTTGCAGTCAAATCTGGGGAATGGGGAAGGATGCAAAGGTTAATAAAATATTAAAAATTCCTGTGTGGTTTATATATTTTTAGCTACTAGGCAAGTTAGAAGTGTTAACTTGATATTTTCACAAGCAGTGCATGGACAATTTTTTAACTCATCAAACATTTTATGGGTGAATTTTTGAGTAAAATAGTCTGGAATTGGAGAGCAAAAAGAATTACAGATGCAGCCATTGTCCAATATCAACTATAGATAACTATGCTTAGATGTTTTGTTTAAACGTATACCTTTTTACTATCCATCTACCCTTGGACTTGTATCAAGTCTAAATGAACTTTTATAACCCTGTTAAGCTTTGAAAATAATCAAATGTATGAACATATTTGACAGCCTTATTAGCAATTGTAGTATGGAAGCTTCGCCTACTTACCTAGGTTACTAAATAATGCTGCTGTTTCACTTCTGGATAGGGCAGTTATCACTTTTCTACATGTGGGGTCCCTTTTAATGACATAGCTGTATATTTTGCTCTAGCCGTGCTGATTTCAGGACTGAGTTTGCAGGGGTGGAAATTATGTGCTGTCATTCTGAATGATGCAAAAGTTGATATTATAAGCTTTTGAGGACATTTAAGACTAAGCATGTAATATCACTATAATTACAAAATGTTCACCAACATTAAAATGTTCCAATTACTTCAAATTTTTAAATAAAGCATATTGACTTTCCTCTTTTCATGTCAGTTGTCTTTACTATGTTAAACAGAGAGAAATTTAATCTGTTAGGTTGATCAGGAAAACACAATTCAAAAGAAAAAGTTAGCATCCAGTGCTACTGTGTGTCCCACAGGTTCTTCCACTTTGATCAAAACTGCCTCCACTGGTGAGTTAGAGGAGCGTATTGCGGCCACTACTGGTGCTATTACTGTTGCTAGCACATCTGCTGATGTTGCTGTATCCAGTGCAGTGACCACCTATACACAACCTTCTGAAGAGCAGCAAGTGCAAGCTATGAATATAAGAAAATCAATTCTGGAGTCGGCCACTTCCAAGGAAGCACTCTCCTTTCATCAAGGAAACTTACAAAGCACGAGACGACGACCAAGAAATGCTGAGCAGATAGAAAGAGCTAAAGAACTTGCAGTTGTTACTCATAGAGGTATTGGATATTATTTTACTTGTGCCCATGTAGTTATGGACAAATATTTTGTATAAATTAAAAGTGAAAAGTCAGGTATCCAGTCAGGAAATGTAACTGAACCAAATGGGAAAGGGATTAAATATGCTTAAAATTGAGTTCTAATGTGGCAGCCAGATGGAAAAATTAAAATAATAATAATATCAACATAGTAATTTAAATCAATTTGATTTATAAAAAAAAGCAAAAGGGAAAGAAGGAATTTTCTTTTGATGCCACTTTATAGCTTATATCATTATATTTCACTATCAAGCCTAGTGTGAGATTTGATGAAGGTTTAGAGAACTGAGACTAAAATATTAATCTATTCTGCATATGTGCTTAGACATAATCAACTATAGCATTAAAAATGTACTTTATAAATAGCTGCTTTGTTCTAAACTAATCAATGATGCCGTTATAATTGTCTCCCTTATGCTTAAATCATCAGAAAAATTTTGGCTTTTTAAAACATCTGTACATTTTTATTCTATCAAACATGAAATCAATGAATGAAGCAAAGATTAGAACACTAGGTTGAAAGTATTAAAGTAGTAAAGCTAAAGGTTTATGTTCCTATATTCAGAAGGTTTAACCCACATGTTAAAGTACTAATGATGAACAACACTTGGAGTATAAACAAAGCATTATTTGTTGTGTTAAAAGGTAAATGTCAGTATCTGAAACATGAGGCTGAGAAGCAGTGATGCTGGAATACCTTAATTCAACCAGCACAGACATTCAGAAACAAATTGCATGTGGTATGTTTTTACAAGTTCAGGGAAGGAGTAGCTTAATTTTACAGGTTACTTCTGTTAAAAACTATTTATTACATATTTTTAATTTTTATTGTATGCTAATCTGTTGTTACATGTTAATCTATTGTGCATGAAGAATTTATAAAGAAAAATAAATGGAGGAGGAACATTTTTGTAACACAAATAATTTATAGAAGTCTCATTATATGGTTGATATTGTGTAAAGACTGGTTTAGATTGGAATCTATTGTCCTACTGGATCAGAGAGTAACCTAGTCAAAGTTATTGCAGCTTCATTTGCTAAACACCTATTGAAACAGCAGGGCTGCAGTTCTACAGAATTTTAAAACATGTAATTTGAGTAGGATAACTGAAAAACAAACATTTTATTTGGTTTGAATATGAAACAAATCATTAAACAGCTATTTGTTTAATTTGTATTAATTTCAGTACAAATCTGAAGTATTTTCATGGTTATCAACTGGTATAAATGAACTAATAGAATTTGGTTTGTACTGGTTGTGTGGCTATGCATTCACTTCATCTTTGGTCATGTTAAAAAACCAGGCTTATTTTCAGTTATCAGGGAGTATCTGAGGGCCTGTTGTAGTCTCTTCCAATTTAAAGATGTGAGAGTGTACAAATTTGGCTGTAATTGTATATCTACTGTTTATAATCATTATACTGCAATGTCCTCTCCACTGTTTTCTCACTGACCTTTTCTTCTGTGACTTCTCCTTTAATATAAGATATAGGTAAGGCACATCTGAATTACTTTGTCATATTGAAATGCTAAACCTTACATTATGAAAAAAAAAATTAGAGGAGAAGATACTGCTAATATAATCTTATGGTACTTATTTGTCACATGTTAAAGTAGTACCACAGACAGTAAAAGCCCACATACAGATGAAGCCAGTCTTGTGTAGACCTTACTGGAGAAGCATAAAATCACAGAACAGTTTGAGCTCAAAAGGACCTTGCTCAGAGCCTGGTCCAACTTGGCCTGGAATGTTTCCAGGAATGGGGCAGCCACAATTGCTCTGAGCAACCTGTTCCAGTGTCTCACCACCCTCACAGTAAAATTTTCTTCCTTGTATCTAGTCTAAATCCATCCTCTTTTAGTTTAAAATGGTTACTTCTTGTCCTAGTGCAACAGGCCCTGCTAAAAACATTGCCCCATCTTTCTTATAGCCCCCCTTTAAGTACTGAAATACTGCAATGAGGTCTTCATGGAGCTTTCTCTTCTCCAGGCTGAACAACCCCAACTCTCTCAGCCTGTCTTCACAGGGGATGTGCTCCAGCCACCTGATCATCTCCGTAGCCATAGAAGAAAGTCCATACCTAGTTATGTGTGCAGTTTATTCCCTTATGACACATTTAAAATCTTGATTTTTTCTAGCGTTCTTTATACAAAATCTTAAGTATTTTTTACTGTATCATACCCACAGAACAGTATATGTGTGTATGCTATTAAAGTACGTATTCATATCTTGAGTAAAAAAATTACCATTTTTCTTGGCAAACACCAATATTTGATAGTATAATAGCCATAAGAACATATCAACTGACCCTTATTTAAAAACCTGTAATGGTGTTCCATAAAATATTCCTCATTACAAAGACATGGACATATTTTGAAGGAATGCTTGTGAATGTGAGGCTATTATTGACTGACTTGAAGAAATTTCTATTATGGGGAGATTCCACAGGTGTTTTTATGGAGTTTCCTGTAGGTTTCTGTTGAAGTATTTTAACCTCTCTTTGACAATGAAATATGTACAAAAGTATAAAAACTGCTTGTCTTGCCCTGTATATTAAATTAGTATGGAACAATACGCAAGAGCTACTTAAGAAGTTTATGTAAACTCCTTTTTTAATTCTTTCTCTAATTAATAGTTATTAATAATTGCTTTTTACTTTGGAAATATATTTTTTTCTTGTGCTTATTTAAGAATTATGCCCCCAAATATACACAAATTAATACTTGAAAAAAAATACAAAGTTTTACTAGACCTTACTATATTGCATATGTGTATATTTAAAATGGTAAAAATATACTGTACATATAGTCTTCATTGTAGGCTTTGAGAGTGTTGCTAGTGAGATCAGAATAGTGCTGGTTTATGATACACTGGCATTGATGCGAAATATTAACTACAGAATAAGAATCATACTGTTGGCTTCTATAGGATTGTTCTGTGAATAAGATCTTTCAGAATGAGTAAACAGTATCAATACTCTTCCCCTGCCAAAGCCAGCACATTCTCCAGGTGTTTTTAGTTTGGGTTTTTTTGGGGGTTTTTTTTTACAACTGATTTTACAAAGTATATGTATGAAAGAGTTGTATAGAGAGAACTAAAGGTGTCTATATAAATTAAACTGCTAGATGTAAATTAGTCTACCACGCTTGCTATCTGGATTTCAAAAATAATAGTAGGTTGTGTCAAAGGCTGGCTGAAGAACTTTTCTAAGCTTATCAGGTGGAAATCCCAGAAGAGAAGACATTGTGTTCTGACTATTTAGGAGAGGAAAAGGAACTGTAGACACATTTGTTGAAATATTTCCCTTAGAGGTAGGGAGTACAAGTATCATTTTAAAACTGAGTAATGAGATCCAATGGGGACTACTGTACATGGTTATAGTTCCTTCATCAAAAAGATTTCAGACTGAATCAGATGAATAAAAGAATTATAATGGTGTTACATTGTTCTGATCATCCCACCTTGCAAATCAAAATGTAAGATAGGATGAAAAGATAAATGTTTCAGGAAGTTAATGCCAGTATGTGGAGAACTTAAGGACAAATGAGTATATAATATATAAATAGATACATTGGGGAGCGGAGTGAGAAGAGTTCTTGTTGTTGGAAAGATGAAGCCTTCTGGTAGGAGCAGGGAGTAGATGAAGCGTGAAAAACTTACTTTCAAGATGCAGCTTGATAGGCTAATGAAAAATATATTTAGATATGATAGCTGGAAGAGTAAACGTAGCATCTTTTGGGTCATGAGTTATAATGAAACCAATTGCTCAAACGCAGGAAAGTGTATCTCTTCTTCTATTCAGAAGTAGGGGAAGAAAAAAAAAAAAGAGATCCCTAACCACTTTCATTCAGTTAAATCTAGAAGATTCAAATGCCAAGCATTCCGTAGCAATTCATGTGGATACTACAGTCACAGTTTCTAGTATACTCTGTCTTTAGGTGTGAAATGAGGAAGGAAATTAAATGTGGTTTTCTTCCCCTATTTATTTTATGTTTAAGTATTTAAGTACTGATACTTTGATCATAACTACATTAGTAGAGGATAATCTGACATTTTGGTCTTTTCTACTATCTGTGTTTCACACACTAAGGATTCAGACTTTAGTAATGCTGTTAGTGCTGTTCAATTGTTTTGTAATTCATATCAGCTGCATCTGTTCTTAAGGCTGTAGAATTTTTATTTCAGTATATGCAAACATGAGAGATTTTAGAACTTTTTTTCTTGTGAGCATTTTTATAACATGCTTTTACTGTCTAAAGATGTGTTAAGTGGCATTTGGACAATGCCCTTAACGTGCTTTAACTTTTGGTCAGCCCTGAATTGGTCGGGCAGTTGGACTAGATGATCATTGCAGGTCCCTTCCAACTGAACTGTTCTATTTTATTCATGTTCATTTTAATATGGAAGTACACATGCATCCCGAGTAAATACCCTTGAGAATAATGGGAACCTTACTTCTGGTTTCAGTGGTAATAGAGAACAAGGAGTACAAGGATTTTGAAATAAATCTTAACATGAAAGCTGATGCTGTTGATATAGCAGAGGTATCTATTCCCTTATATATTTGAGAAGAATCCTTGATCTACTGGTGCCAAACGTAATAAAGTCTGATACTCACTTTTGCTGACATATTACATGTCTGGGAGGTTTAAAAGGACCAGAAAGATAGTTTAAATAATTTTACAAGTGAGAGTAAAAAAAAAATAAATATTTTTAGAGACTCCCTAATTCTACTGAAGGAGTACGAAGTGGACTGAAAATGGAATATCTCAAATCAAGTTACTGGAGTTTTGCTCTTCAATGTAATGAACCTGGACTTTGACCCCAGAAATAAATAAGAACTAACTATTGCCACATGAGAGAAACTCAGTATAAACAATTTATATTAGCCATCCTATTCTAACATTGTAGTTAGAATATAAAAACAAATTTATTATTAGTGCAATTATACATTACTTGA